AATGTCACAGTTAGGTATGGAGCAAAAAAGTTGAGTACAAAAAGATGAATCATAGCTGCAGAGTGGCCTGTTCCATGTATAAAATGTGCAGTAAATCAACTTTTCAGCACTTATGCATTAACTTGATTACTGAGCTAGTTTTTTATCTGAATAAAAATCTCTTTACTAAATCCTCTGCTGACTTTTTGTTGTTTTTAAAATCAAATCCGCAATTTTGTATCTAAGCTTACACTTTTGTTTGCAATAATCAATGTAATTCTTGTGCTTTTATTGCAGATTTTTATTACTAACTGAATGCTTCATGAGGAATGACAGTGACAGGTGCTGATAAGAGCCAATCAGATCATCCCTCTGCTCTTATATATATACACAGTAAATAATATATTTATATTCCAGAGGATGCTGTTGTCATCTGGCATGCTGCAGTCAATTTGAGCTTGATTGACAGATACATCCAGGTTCACAGTTTATTGGTTTCGGAGGAGAGAGCCAGATATGCCAATTTAGACAGTAAAGTGACAAAAAAGTTTCAATCTAAATAGAATAATTCTGCTTCTGGGAATTCTCAGCTGGGGAGAGGGAAGAGTCAAGCTTCCTTTTTTCTCCCCTCCCTCCTCCTTTAACAAGGGCTGTGAATGACAAACATATACGACAGTTAGGGGCTGACAGAACATCAGCTTTTGATGCTTCACAGGGGAGCTATGAAATAAACAACAGGCAGAGAAATTGAATTACAAAGCAAAAAGGGGGTCTCTCCTCGTGGACCCAGAGGCATCAGAGTGCACCAAAAAACAGCTCAGCACAGTATGTTTTAGAGGGGCTTATTTTCTCTTTTTACAATGTTGAAATTTGAAGACAAATGTGTGATAGATGGATAGAAATGGAGTATTCTCTTCTATAAAACCTCATATTATTTTAATTTAATATCATATCACTGCTATCCATGCAGGACCAGAAAGTAAAACTCACTCTTTTGCCATTAAAACAAGATTGAAAATAGCGTTTGGACCAAGAAATGGATGTCTGAATTAATAACTGAAAAGCTCAACAACTGTATAATATATTCTCATCCTGTCTGACATTATTTCAAATGTACATTCTGCTTTATCATGTGCTCCCGCAGCCCAAATCCTTTGCAAATCGCGCAGCGCTAATCAGGACAGTGTCCACTTGTTGTAAATCAATAATGATATAACTAAGTCATACAAGGCGGCAGTGGCAGAGGGATTACGGAGCGAAGAAAGAGTGAAAATAAGCTCTAAGAGGGATTTCATGCATAAATCTCTCCCTGCAACTTAGCACAAATTGAATTCAGGCACACTGCTAGAAAAATTAATTCAGCTTTACAAAGCGAGGAGAGGTTAAACACTTTATGTGCTGCTCAGTGATCCAAATCATGGAGAAAACATTTAGAGGCATTCTCACTGTAGCCCCCGTGCACCCCGTGATCTTTATACCTGAAAAGTAAATACATTTATCTCAAAATAGTCCCATTAGCTACCTGAATTCATTGTGGCATTGTATTTTGGGGGTTTTACTCATCAACACACAGAAAATAAATAATTTGTCATCTCAAGCTAAATTTGTACTTAACATGGTAACACTTTAACCATTTGCGAAGAATACTACAATTACACACTCTAATGTAGTTTTAAGCAACAATAAGGACATTTTAAGTGTTATTTATTTGTCAACAATTATAACTTTTGCAGAATGGAAGTGGGATTTTCCTACATTGTACGTGGGAATGTACATCTGTGAGAACATTGTGGGTCACAGTCGTTAGTTTAGTTCAGCAATCCCTTTTTTTGACTTTGTTTTATGTTTACTGGAGAACAGAGCCTAAATACATCAAAATGTTCTTTTTTAGTTATCACTGTGGGTATGATTACAGCCTTTCAGGCGTTGGGAAACAGCTAAAGCTCCAGATTTTAAAGATTGGGTAAATGCAATAGAGATCGCATATAAATCTATGCTTGGTAGATTAAAAGGTAGTTCAGAAGTTGGGACTTCCTCCTGGGACCTTTTTAGTGGCTTTTGTTGTGATCTGGGTGTTTATGTATGTGCTATTTGTTTAACTTATCTTTTATTTCTTACACGATATCCTGTGGCTAATAGTATAAACCCCTGTAACCATATTCTTACTGCGATGTACCAAGCATTTCTCAACAATGAAAACTTAAATGCCAAAAACAATTATAACTTCTCCTGTTGAGCATCTGTAATATGTGCATATAAAGATAATAAATGACTGATAATATAAAGCAACTGTAAATATTTAACGTAAATATTAATAATTAAGTATGTATGTTATATTAGCTAATTATATTATTACACTAATTGTGTTTATCAACAATGTATTTATCTTTTAATAAATACTTCTTTACGCTCTAAGACAAACTCCATCAGCTATAAAAAAAACTTAAAAATACATAAAATATGCATTTTAGTGAAAGTCCTCATTACCCAGAATAGCAACTTCAGAGCATTTTTTATTGATTTTTTTTATTATTATTTCTGATGTTATTTTCTGTATTGCAGTCTTGTAGTAAATTGACTTATACTTATATGTACTTGTACTTATATATCACCTTTCTATTCTTCTCAAAGCACTGTACACTACATACCACATTCACACACATTCATACAGTGATGACAACGGCCATCACAAACAGAAGCTAAGACATTCATACACATTCACACACCAACGGCACAGCATCGGGAGCAATTTGGGGTTTAGTATCTCGCTCAAGGCATGCAGTGGGAGGAGCCGGGGATCTAATTTTAGTTACTTTAAATACTTAGGGTTAAATCCATAACACTTACATATTTTATAAACTAAACATATGTTTTTATGTAAAATCTGCAAAGTAACTTAAATGGTCAAATACATCTAGAAGAGTAAAAAGTCCAATACTTCCCTCTGAAATATATGAAGTGGAAGTATAAAGTAGCAGAACATATTAATATACAGGGCATCTGAGGCCCATTTGTTTGACTTGAAATTTAAGTATTCAAGACCCAATTAGGCCCACAAATAAGATTTTTTTTCATCTGTTGATTATTTTTTCATTAAATTTGCCTTTTTTGTCTAACCAACAATCCAAAACAGGGAAATCCTCACATTTGAGAAGCTGAAACAAGTACATTTTTTGGGCATTTTTGTTTATTAATAAATTAAATAACTGATTAATCAATTATCAGAAATGTTGTAACAAACTGACTAATAGTTTCAGCTCTAGTCCAGATAGTCAGAAACACCATGCAGCCCCTTTTGCGTAAAAGATTTCAGACACTTTTATTATTGTACAAGTGAGACCAGCATAATGAAAGTGATAATACCCATGAACATGAAAGACATTTTTTCTTACTGTATTTACAGAGAAGTGTCTTCACATCACACACAAAAAATCCTTCTACAAAATGAACAATTTGTAAATAACATAACAATTAAATAAACTCCACCTACCTTTAGGTTTACAGCTGAATATGCATATGATGACCATCTCTGCACTGCATAGAATTTATACATATACTTTTCCTCATGAACAATGTGGGTTTTTCCTAATAATAATAATAATACTGCTCTCATGATGCATATAGGCGGCCTGTAAATAAAACATTAACAAGAACTAAGTCTTTGGCAAATGCAAATACATTCACTTGACAGATAAAGAAACCATCATTCCAGCTTGATTCAAAGAAATATCTTGGCCTGAAACATGTGAGGGAGCTGAAGTTAGGAGGGAACATGTTTAAGGCATTTAGCTGAAATCATCGCCCTGCTTTTTGACGTTTATTGGAGTCGTCAGAATCATCCAATCAGAGTGAATCTGGACGCTTCTGGCATCAGACTAGACAAATGATGATACTGGTTTGACTTGGGATGGCTGTTATATCCTTTTCTGTGGTTGAATGCCAAAGACTTAATCAACTTAAATAAAAATGTAAGCTGTGAGAACATAGTAGTGCATGTCAAGGCAGTGACATGATAGGCCTTGAATTACAGGAAAAACTGTGAGGCTGTAAGTGCCTTTTCAGATTGAGACGTATTAGACTTACAGTCAAGTTTCATGAAATAAAGCAAATATGCATCATCATTTTTCTGCATAATAACGCTCCAGTGTTGCAAACCTCCAAAATAGTGCAAAATTAACAAAAAACACAAGAAAAGGTTTTGCCTGATGACCTCTTGTATCCTGACAAATAAGAAATAGTAAAACACTAGCCAAGCAGTCTTGTCATTACGAATTATAAAAATGAAATAAAAAAATTATTTTAAGAATATATTTACTAGTTTCTTGAAATCTTGCAAATAGCGGGCCATGGTGATATATTTTCATGGCTCCCTCTATTTTCAAACGGATGTTTCTTTATTTATTTCATTTTCATTTTTACATCTTGATTGTGTATCACAGAGAACATGTCCTAATCTTCTCATGGCATCAAAAGCGATCGATTTACTCATGCTGGATGTTTGGTCGGTGACTGTTCAGATGGATAAAAAACAACATTAGCTTGCCACAGCCTGCATGTGCTGCTGCTAATCTCCTCTGATCTCACTGCGCTGCCATCTGAATCGAGAGGGAGACGAATGGAAAAAGGAAAAAAGGCTGCTGCTACATTTTAAGCTCTGGACAGCGTCCCTGCTGAGAGCCGTCAAGAAAAGGAATGTACAGTATTGATCCATGATGGGATGAAACTGTGACACTGCTAGAGGGAGAAAATAAATTCTGATATTTTTATTTTCTGTCTTTTTCTTTTTTTTCTTCTTTTTTTTTAAACCACTGCAATTAGCCACAGTTTTCATCATGTGTGGAGCGACTTTCAGTGTCTCTGGTGATGTCTGTTTTTTTTTTTTTTGGCTTTGAGTGTCCAAAAAAAGCTGCGAGGAGAGAGGAGAGAAGTCGTCTGGAATCCCAAAAAAACGTTAAGTTTCTCATTGTGTGAGCCAGGAACATTTTATGCGCAGTTGCTCAGTGTCCAGTGGACCATGCCGCTCACACCGGGGCAATATGGAGGCTAAGGCCATGGTCCTGCAGGTTGATTTGGTTTCCATGGTAACTAGTGACGGTCATAGGCAGTGGCAGCAGTGGGAGGGGCGGAGCCTCTCGATGCGGCACTATAATAATAAGGGGAACCTGAAAGTTAACAGAAGAACGAACCATTTGAAACAACAAATATAGTTTTTACTGCCATTAACCAAATGTACTTCCAATATATCAGTTTAATTGTTGTTAAGCTCTTTTACTTTAAATGTTTATGGTTTATTGACCATTGCTTAAGCCCCACCCCCTTTGCAACTGTAACTATGCCCCCGAACCTTTCCATTCTGCACTCAATTTCTGATAGTTTTTAAAACAATACGTCTTTGTTGTCAGACAGAGACAGACAAAGGCAGGTTTCTCATTTCTCTCCAGCATCTGTCAATTTTGAAGGCTCGAATTACAGCTTTCCATGGCAGAATTTTATTAGCTAACTAGTTAATTAAGCAAACGTTATGTCCACAACTTGGCTGTCAAGGGGGCCAACACTGCATGTCCCAGGTAAAAGGTTAGCATCCTGTTTCTTTAACATTTTCTAATATTTGGTTGCTTAGCCTACATACTTTTAATGTTACAGGAGAAAATGCTTTCAGGAAGAAGACTAACTGTTAATGTAACCACTAGCGGTAGCCTAAACCCTGACAGCTTACAGGACCAGCTTTCAACCAGTGGGTCTGCTTTGTTGGTAATCTGTACCCCCCTACATAATAATGTAGTTAGTTAAAGATGAGTTCCTGGCTTTAGAAAAATATATCAGTCCCTCCAGGAAGTTGCGATGTTGCAATTGCAGCAATTAACGCAAATTCAACCAATCCCAGAGAATTCTGCACAACATTGCAATTTTGTCCAATCAGCACAACTTTTCTACAAATTTGATCAATAACTGTAGAGTTTCACCAATCATAGCAGTTATACATTATAGTCTTAAATATATGTTTGTAGCAAGTTTCACTTTTTCACGCATTTTCATTACAAAGAAAAGCTGCAGTGAAATCATGCATTTTAGACTACAACAACTGCCCAAAAAAGCCCGGAAAATCCTGGAGCGACTGCCTAATGTTATGCCACTACTGTAAATAATAAGCTAGTTAGCTGGGCATGCTAACGATAGTAGCTCAGGATAGAGCAAATAAACACAATGTTTAATCTATTCCTTACACTTTTATTGTGTTTTTGGTTTTGGAAAGCCAAGAAAAAAAAACAAAAAACACCACCCTCCAAACTCTTAAAATTAAAAGCATCCTACTTATTACAGCCCTCTGCAAACCACTTTGGCATGTGGAGAAACCCAAAGCTTGAAATCCTAAGCCTGCTGTGCATGGTTACAGTTGCTAAGGCTACAATTGGACAATTGCTGTTCGGGGGGAGGGGTTAAGCAAACGGTCAATTAATCGTTCTCATCCAGGTTCTCGGTCTACTCACTTAGTAATGCTGGGTTGCTGAATCGCCAGGCTTCATTGTAGGTTGTGTACTGTGGATGACTGTAGGGGTTCCCCGAAAACTCGCTCCCTGCAAAACAAAACAACAAATCAATTAGCATTTCAGTGCATCAAACCATTACCCCTTCACATGCAGTCATTTCTCGTCATTCAAAACAGGATGCAATTTGAGGGGGAAAATGATTGTCATCGTTGTGCAACCAGTCAAGCAAGTAATTTATTTCTTTTTCATTTCACTTAAGTTATGCAACACTGAACAATACAGGATGTGACACTGAAGGCGGCTTTCCTTGGCCCATTTATGGATATCTACCCATTCTTCTTCCTCCAGTATATTCCAAACCGGCCTAATAAATACAGAGTGGTAATAAACAGTTTCATGCATACATTTTTGATATGCTGCAATAAATCCTGCAGCCTTTCTTGGAGAAATTTTAACATCTCCAATCTGAACCCCCTCTGGTCTGAGCTCTGGTGTTTGGTATGACAGAATTTCATTGCTGGGGAAGTAACTTGGAGCATGTCAGTGAGCACTGCTGTTGGTTCAACACGTTTCTTTCTTTTACGAGACAATAAAGGCTAGATTTTATATGAAGCTGGTGAGAAATGGCTTTGCTTTAACAGTGTTTTGCGCCTGTCACTAAATCTTAGTGGTTGTGTATAGGATGAATGGGTTGTAACACAAAACCACAAGCCATGGGATTAAGGCCCTCATCTTTTGCTTTGTGGCACATAAGAACAAATGGAAAGTAAAAGTATGTTTGACTTGACGCTTTTCCACCAACATGATTTAACAGTTTTATTAGTGAAAATCCAAAAGTAAATCCAGACTGCACTGCCACTGGGGTGCTACCACATCTCCCTTTGTTTTTACTGGTAGCTGTTAAATGGACTCGTCTGTTTGCAGAAGTATGTCAAGAAAATCTCTATATTTTTAAAAGTGCCAAAGTTTTTTTAAATTTAAAGGTTAATCTAAATTAATAATTTAAATATTAGCAAATGCTTAAAAAACAGATACAGTTAGAAAGCATTGTGGGATACATGTGGTAGATTTCTTATTCAAGTAAGTCTAGTAGTTCATTTTAACACCACCACAAAGAAACAAGTTCAATTCACTTTCATTGTGGAGGCAGAAAAATAAGAGATGAATATCTTAAAATCTGGACAAATAAAACTGTCTGCAGTGCAAGATAGTACTAGAGGTATGAAGAAATATTTATCTTTTGTAATTTTCAAGTTTCAATGAAATATGGTTGCATGAGGTGTTTCTTCCTCATGGCAGCCCTTCATAAAGGGAACAGCCTGAGACTGTGATGGGTTGTGTGATTGGTAAATGATATGCTAACGCAGGACACACTCCACTGGTTTCCCCATCCATGTGGTTTAATCACATTAAAGCAAAATGCCGGCTGTGTTTTGGTGAAAATGTGTGTGGTGATGCCGCAGCTGAAGAAGCGTATAAACCCAGCACCAAAAACTGCATCCCTGCTCTGTTCCTGGCAGCACACACAAGCCTGACCTCCTCAGAGAGACAGCGATTTGAATATTTACCGGGCTCCCATGCCTCTGCCTTTTGACCCTTAACTGTTTGCTGTGAACCTGAACTGCAGGTTAAGTAGAGGAGGGGAAAGGGATATGCTCTGGAGCTCAGAGGCTGGGGAGGGCTGGTAGTGCTGTTTATCGACGCTCTGTGCGAACAGCCACGCAGGGAGATAATGAGCCAATAAGGCAAGAGAGGAAAGCAGGAAGGAAGGGAGAGCGACTGTCCTCTCCCCTGTCTCTGATCACTTATTCAGCCTGTCTAATCCAATCATACACACAGAGCTAATATAAGGATGTGTGTGCCTCTGCAGGTCAATATTTATCGCCTCTCTGCGTAATTTGGCACTAAAGTCTCTTCCCTCTGCTTCTGTAGCTTCTACACCTGTTCGTTTTGAGGGCAATGCCACCTGTTAAACAGACCCTAATGACAATATGAAGCAGTGACGTCGTCTCTCACTCACCAGGAACCATTCCAGCGAGCGTGGAGGTTGGGTAGCTGCCCTGGCCTGTGGGGGGAACGTGAGGGGGATACCCAGGTAAGGTTGTGTTGGCCATATCTCGACCTGGAGAGACAAAATAAAACACAACACAAAAACCACATCATCAGCGCTTTCTAGTTTTAATCTGTGAACCTGGAGAAACAGCTTCTTTATAGAACTGGGAGTGGGAATTTTATGACATTTTTCCCCCACTTTTTGGATTGAATATTCTGTAGTGGATGAAGTATTCAGATCCTTAAGTAAAAGTGGCAATACAGCATTGCAGAAATACTCTATACTAATACTATTACAAGCCCTGCTTTCAAAATTCTACTTAGGTAAAGTGATGTATGGTCAGAATGCACTTACTGTAAATATCAAAAGTAACTTATCATGCAGATAAGTATTATCAGACATATTGAATTTCTGGGACATTATTATGGATCCATTAATATGTAAGTTAGTTAGTTATATCTATACAAATTAAAAAACATGTTTTTATTCTTGTTCCTACAGTTCCTACATGTATGTATAGAGTGTGACACCAGAAGGATGTTTTCACATTTGCGTGCTAAAAGTGGAAAGTTTCTCTGTGTTCACCGAAAATCTGATTTTAAGGGGCGGGGCTTACAAGCATGATTTGTGACATCACAAATAGTTATAATAAGTTAAACCTGGCCCAGTACACAACCTATACAAGTGTGACATAGAAATTAGAAGCCACCAGTTCACATACACTGAGAATGGACTGAAGGAAAACTTTAGTAATAAACAAATTTGCATATTGATTAATTTGGACTATTTTTATATATGTCTTCATACATGTTTGGAGGGGATCTTTAAATACAGTGTTTAGTTACTTTCTAAAATGCAAATCAGCTACTTCAATTATATAATTTCACCACATTTGACTGACAAAATATGTTACTATACACACCATGTCTCATTACCACCACCACAAGTCAGTCAGCACAACTCAATTTTTACTGTAGTTTGAGTCTCACGTTTTAAAGAACACGGTGTCTTTTAAACCTGTTTCTAAACACCACAAAGCATCAATTCGCCTCTCCAACAAGTGAACTGAAAACAAGATACCAGCTGCTGCTCTGAGGCAACTGAATACTGGTCGCATTAATATGTCTCCTCATTACACAGTTCAAACTTGTCTAACTATGGCAGCCTTTACTGAATCCCATAAGGCTCCTCTTTTTCCCTCTGTGGCTGTAAAGTCCGAGCACACTGGCCTCTCTGCAGAGCGCCACCCGTCCGGCTGCAGATATTCAGCTCTGTAATTGAGAGTGACGGTTTGGTCGTCCTTGCTAGCCACGGGAACGTTTGGACAACGGCATGTAACCCCAATCTACACAGGGGCCGGGATAGGAGAGGCCCCTGTTATATTGTCAGCTGTGAGGGCCACTTGGTCTGAAAGGGAAAATCATCTCCCAATAGAGCTTTAATGAAACACCACAAAACAACTGTTGTCCACGCTGTTGCCTTTACAAACAAAGTCCAGCAGAACAGGGCAACTCTTGACGACTCAAAAGAAAACTTTTTAATAAGATGAACTAAAGAAAAAAAACTCTTGAAGTGGAGCTTTTGGTTGTAGGACATTCTTTTTTTTTTAATAGTTGGTTTTACCTTTAACATCACTGTAGGCAGAAGTATTTTTTGATTAAGAATGTCAGTGCTTTTAATTTAATGTTCATACTTTATTTTTAATAGTCTTAACTTAATCTAAACTTTAGATATACCTTTTGTCGTTTATCTGTTATGTTTGTTTCTAATTTACTGTAGCAACAATGTAATTATTCTGCCATTTGGCCAGGTTTGGAAAAAAAGATTTTTATTTTTGGTTTGTGACACCTCTGGGATATGCAAAGAAAAATAGAACATTATAGAACAAAAAAAACCCAGCAAGAAATAATAAAAAATAATGTTATGCTTCATACTGAGAAAACAACTCTACTACAACACTCTACCTCCCAAGTACAAAACACATTTATATGTCCAAATGTCAAAAACTAAATCGTGCTGCTAATTACCACTGCTAATGAGAGCATAAACCACAGGCAAATTTAGATATTGACTTAAAAATCCAATTCATACATGTGCAATATCATGAGCGATATATTTGTTTAATTGAGGGTTGAGCGAATGAGCCCTCTGGGTACTGAAGTACCTGCTACTACAGGCTGGCAGGCATATTGGCTGCAATGGGGGCCACGGGGGCCGGGGAGTAAAACGGCTGGTGAAGAGGCAGGGTGGCAGGCCTGGAGGTCCACAGGACTCTGGCCTGCCAGGGAAGAGGAGGAGGAGGAGGAAGTGGGGGTGGGAAGAGTCATGGAAGCCTTGTATGGCTCTGTCTTAATGTAGGGTGATGATGGATGGATGAAGACCTTTTTTTGTAAGTGGAGGAGAGATACATAAAGAGGCAATAGGAGAGAGACAGGTGCACATGTGACCTTCTATATATGCCACATACTTAGATATTATATCATACACAGACGTAAAGGTGATTACTTAAAGGGGAAAATCCAGCCAATAAGATAATTCATATTGTGCTGTTACACTAATCCACAAAAATCTGAGCAACAGGACTTGTTTTTAAGGACGTTGTCATGTGACACTTTTAGCAGATGGTCCATCTAATTATTTTGTGGGAGAACAATTAGGTGCATTTATTCAAGTTTTTTTATTCCAATACATTTCTGAAATACTGTATTTTTACTCCCCTAAATCTTATTTTGCAGACTTTACAAACAAATCATACTTTATGATCAGCTTATAGAATATGATGCATTACCAGAGATTAAACTACTACATAATATTTAAATTGATTAGAATGAGCTGACCTACCACTTCTTTTAGGTACTGCTTACATTTAAAATCATATATCATAAATAATCATTAATGGACAATAATATACAGTTTTAAAAGGGGTCATTCTGCATAATGGGTGACTTTTGATACTGCAGATCTACTTATATATATATAAATATTTTTTAAGGCAGGACTTGAAAATAACCATGTACTAAGTACTGTATTTAAGTACACGTTTGATGTACTTGTACTTTATTCCATTTTTTGTTCATACTTCTTAATATTTCTACTTCATTACACTTCAGAGGCAAACGTTGTACTTTTTACTCTTTACTACATTTATTTGATAAATTCAGTTACTAGTTATTATAGATTAAGCTACCCAGTGGTACATTAAGTGAATAAAATGGGCTCCACTGCAACATTAAAGTGATGAACACATTAATGCATCAATAAGTGTAATCAAATGATATAATGTAATATATATTATTCTGAAATGGGCTTGTAACAGAGTATTCGTACACTGTGGTATTGCTGCTTTTACTCAAGTAAATGATGTGAATACTACTTCCACCATAAAAACATTTTTAATGCCGAGCTTCCATCTCTGTAGCAGAAAATGCACTTTGTGTCTTAATAAAAATACCACACTGTTGTCATAGTTCAAGAAGTATATTCTCCCTTAAAACACATGCCAAAAAAAGAAATTGTATGATAAAGAAACGATTCAGTCTTATGTTGAACAACTGCTCTCTATTATTTGCAAATCTCAGCACTGATGGCTGTATTGTACGAGGCCTGTTGAGATCTTTTGGTTAAAGCACTGAGACTCGAGGGCTGCGGAGTTAAAGAGCTTTACAGAGAAGAGTGAGGTCATGCTGGACCTTTCATTTATAATAAGAATTAGTTAGCCACAAGCCAGTGCACATAAGTCAAAGGGAGCTGTGGGAGTACTGTAGGTGGGGGGTCCAGCAGGGGTGAGGCCATTGTGTGTGTGTGTGTGTGTGTGTGTGTGTGTGTAGACACTGGTAACTATTGTCTAACTGTCTCAGCAAACACTGACCCAATCTTTTCTTCATTATGATTGCAGCAGCTACAGCAGCATGTTTAATAAAAGTAAATACTCTTATCTCTTCATTACCTCGCTTCAAGGAGATGACATTTACTGTACAGTCTCAAGCGAAACATCTAGTTTAATTTCGTTAAGATATGGAAAAGCCAGGGATACTGGGATGATCAAATAACCTATTCCTCTACCTTTCCTCTTTAGATGGTTCTGATCCGAATTGACCGACACTAATCCAATACCAGTTGTTTTTTGTTTGTTTGACTAGTGAAACTGATCAATTCTGAATCAGCGCATGACTTCTTCACTACAAGTGGACGCTCTCATAAACCAAAGTCCAGTTAATGTTTGCGCAAAATTTAATGATATTGTTCCAGAAGGTTTATGAAATGTTTTCTTTTAAATAATTTTCTAACATCAGTGATTGACTGATAAACTGCATTTAATGTGGGTCGGTCACTTCTAGCCGATGCCTGATTAGCCCCGATACCGATTCAGTTTATTGGATCAGGGCATCAATACTTTCAACTTAACCTTCATTGGAGACTTCGATCTTCGTTCTATCCTCAAATAGCAATGATAAAACACACATTTTGGTCATTTTTTTTTGATTTAGTAGACGAGTGAAAATCATCACGCATTTTAGTAAAAGCAGTTATTCCAATACAAATATAAGAAAGCAGAATATGTTTTCTAAAAGGTTTGTATTACCCAGTTAATAAATGTGAATGTCAGTCTGTGTATGCTGACTGTTGGCCATCAACTTCAGTCTTTTTTCATCACTTGTTGACTCTGATAATAATAACCACAGCCTCTGTTGAATCCTGTTTTTGTATATTCCAGGATACAGTTGGCAGTGACTGCCAGCAGCTCTCTGACTGTTGCTTTATGTCCACTTTAAAGCCCTCATTCAGAGAGGCGCCGGTTCGGAGAACTCTCTGTACAGCAATGATAGCCTCATTAGCTGCTTCCTAGCCTTTGTTGTTTTTACAACAGAGATGTGTGTCCAGATTCTCATTAAAAGATGGCCTTCTTTATATTGTCTGCTTCCTCTGACAGTCCCCTTAGATTGAACGCCAGCAAATCAAGCTATTTATTTTCCTCTGCCCTCTTTTTCCTTCCCTGCAAAAATCAATTCAAAGATTTTTTGGTTTGCTGTTACAAAAGCCTGTTGATTTCCGTCTTAATTTGAGAAGTGGCTTGTAACGGTCACTGCTGAGCTGGGAATACAGTATTTCCTGCTCTTAGTATGCCTTGAAATATCTGAAATGTGCTTTTGCAGGTATTTGACAAAAAGGTGCAAACTGAGAACAAATGAACCATTAAGTACCACTGGTAATTTTCCTGATTTGAACCACACAGAGTGAGTGAAAACATCATGCAGTTTAAATTATCTTGCCAGCGCTATTACACTGTGAGAAGACGAAGATTCTTTGGTTTTGTCTCAACCCACGACAACGTGACAAGAGAGGTGATGTTCAGTTTTTGCATTAGCATCAACTCAGTTTCTTAAAACACAAACAGAAAACCAGGGTGACCTTCTCTTTATTTGGCACAGGAACAAAGTCGTTTGTGAATGACTCTTTTGCTTGCAAGAGTATTAAATTTAGCATGACAGGGACACCTTCATGTTTGCTACAACAACAACCAAAAATCTTTGACCTCCATTTTCTAGGCTATATGCAGAATGGGGCAATTTATCACAAGCCAAAAAATCTCAGCACCCTAATTAATTACAACTAAGTAAAGAATGTTTGGAGAGCCAAATTGCTTTAATTCCCCAAACACCGGCTGAAAGTCATTCATTATCAAATGTGTGCTCAAAGGTTAGTTTGCTTTTGTGAAGACGAAATAAGCATTAATTTCGGAGCCGAGGCCTGTGGGGAGACGGACGAGCGGTTTGTCATGAGGCCACACATCACTGACGGCAGGTTCGCTGTCTGATCTTTGCTCGCTGCTCACTGGGCAATGGCAGGTCTTGGTACTTTCTGTGTAGTTCACCCTGAGATCACTCACCCTTAATTGAACGTTAAGTGAGGCTAGTTGTGTTTGCTGGATGAAGTTTTGTTTAGAATATTGTCAGGAAGGGGATGAAAAGAGTGTACAGAGGCAGCTGCTTGAGGAGGAGAAGTGTCATTGGCACAGGGGCTTTAAGCCTCTGGAGGCCTCCATTAACAGGCCCAGCAGGGAATATGTTTAAAGAGTCTTCAGTATGCAGTCACTGAGTGGAGATGTGTAAAACTCCCACTGAGTGCTCAAGGGAATCCGCTCAGCGCTCGAAAGATGGCTCTTAAGTCTGAAGCACCATCAAGAAAACAGGTGGGCTCTGACTAATTTCAGGAAATACAGAAACTCTCTATAGAAATAGTGGACAATTGGCCGTATCAAGGCCATCTCTCCATTTATTTCTCAAAATACACAAAAAAGTTCAGAGCTCCTCCTTCTGCTATTCATAAATTCACCCACGGCTCACACTATTTGAATTTTAAGCAGTTTGAATGAACAAGAATAAGAAGCACTTGAGATGAAATCCATCTCTCGAAGGGAATTCATCAAAGAAATTACTTCCCATATCAACAATAGAAATTACCTCACAATATGCAATTGTCCTATCCACATATTCATGGAACCCTTTGGTGTTTTTATGGGGTAAGAGGGACTATTTAGCAGGTAATACAGCATTAATGTGGAGAAGAGGGAGAGAGAAAAAAGCTGTTTTAATGGAAGTGGCTTCTTGCCTCTGAATTTCGATGATGTGCACAATGCCCTTAAATCCCTTTCTTATTTGAGGCTGCTTTGCAGGTACTTTTGAGCCTTAATAGGATAAGCAGAGGACACAAAAGATTTCTATCGCTCAAGTCTTTCACTTCACTGAGAATCCCGATCTCTGGCAATGAGCACTTCATGAATCATTCATTTTTAATAGATTATGCAAATTCCAGGACATAAAATCAACAAGATCAATAACTGCAGGCGTTTTAATTGGTGTTCGAAAACATTTTAAGGATGAACATAATCTCCAGTTCTTTCCCCCGTAAAGACACAATTAATTTGAAATTGGATCTCGGCCTAAATACTTGAGATAATTTGCTACTTTTTGCATGGCTTAAAATTCCTCTGGTAGGCTTATCGCTGGCAAGTAAACTGTAACACTCAGCCATTAGAGAGACCACACACCTGAATATCACCTAATATCCACAGAGGCAGGCACTGAGGGAAAACCAAGCATAGGAGCCACTAACTAAATACTAATTACCAACTGGAAGTCATAGTGATGTTTGTTCCATTAGTTTGACCTCTGTACGCTTTAGAGTGAGATCTACCGCCAGGAAAGGACATGGAATAAACCTATTTACTAACACAAAAGAAAGAGATGTGCTTTTTATACACAGACAGATACACACACACACACACACACACACACACCGATATGCATACAATCCCATCTTTCTTCCTCTACATGTCTCTTTGCACCTGTAAAGCAGTAAGGAGACCCTCTCTTCAGAGACCATCTAAAGTATCCCAGGTGCAAACAAAGCCGCCTGCAGAACCAGGTCTGCTTTCTACAGAGGCCATCAGTGCACAAAGGACAAACACACACCTTTCTTCTCAGGAGGCCTGCCTTACAGGGGAAATCTACCTCCCACATATTAATGAGAAAAGGGCCCTTTCTTTTCTCATAAGACTGCTTGGCTATCATTTGAGAAGGGGGGCTGCTGCAATTTTCAATCACCCTGTCCTCCCCCTCGCAGAACTCGTTGCCTTTGATGGCTGCTGCATAATTATATGAATTTTAATAAAAGCTCTGTATATTAATCTCAGGCCCCCGACAGTCATCGTAAACTTTCAGTAAACTTAACCTTCTTCTTGGTAATAACACGGCAACAACGAAACAATATTTCAATTAGCCAGGCAGTCATTAACTGTGACAAGGAGAGGAGACGAAGAGGGGGGAGAAAGAAAGAAAGTGAGAGAGAGAGAGAGAGAGAGAAATAGGGAGGGTAAAATAAATGATCATGGTGTTAGAGTTAGGCGGCAGAAATGCCAGAGCGTATTTACCGAGGCACATTACTCGTGCTTTGAGACACACAAACTGTCTCCCGGCGAACAAATCACAGGAGCAACACAGCAGCAGCCAACAAGCAGTCAGTCCTGCATGGTGGCCTTTTTTTTTTTTGCGAGACCTTGCTCTGATACACAGTCATAGTTCTGATGTGCTGACACCCAAAGGTCCTTGTCCAGCGGTGACTGAACAGCTCGCACGCCCCCCCAACACACAATCTCTCTTACCACCCTGCTTGCTCAGCAAAAAGCAAGACGGAGGACAGCTGCTAAGCTTTTATCGCATCATCGTACCACCTTTTCAGCTCAGAGTGAAATGGTATTAAAAAAGTCTTCACACTTAACTTTTTGGTTTGCTTTTATTTTCACACATTTTTTTTTGTCAATTGCACAAGCATTGTTTTTTCTTTTTCTTTTACATTGTTCAAACCCCCTCAGCTGAAGCTGTGGCTCGGCAGCATAAAGTCGGACTGTATGGCACTTGATCTTACCTACAGGGTAGCTTTGCGACACACTGGGGCCCAGGTCTGGGTTGGCGCTAGAGGATAAACTGGGCTTGACTTCGTCCAGGCTGGAATTCAGGGCAGGGAGCGAGTACTCATTAGCCTGGGAAAAGGACAGTTGAATCATTACACAACCAAACAATACCTAGATGGAAATCCTCCCTTCTCCTCCTCCATTAAGCGCTCCACACAGGCCTGTGCGAGTATAAATTTGTATGAGAGCATTGTGTGTGTGTGTGTGTGTGTTCAAGCTGCAGGGTGGCAGTTCAAGCATATCATGAATGTATTTTGGTATTGTCTGAGAGGAAGTGGGATTTTGAGATGAGTGAAAAGCCAAGGCGTCAGCTGGCCCTTTGTGCTTGACTGCAGTCCTACCCCTGATCAGCCAAGGGAGAAAGCAGTTCTGCTTTGTTACAGGCACACCATGTGGCCCTGTTTGAGAGACACCATTCACCTTTTTTTCTTTTTTTTCTCTATTTTTGCTTTTAATTCGGAGTCTAAACCACCTTTAAATTTCATTACCTCTTATCTCTGAATAGAATCACTTGTACAACTTGCACTTTTGTAACCATTTAACTGTTTGAGAGTTTGCCTCTTGTCAGCATTCAGATGGGACTAGTTCACCCAAATGGAAAACAAAACAACAACAGAGTTTTAGCCCTAGCGGTATCTAGTAATGTAGATCATTTTGGTTTTAAGTGCCCAAGTTTTGAAATGTGCACCTCTGAAACTTCCAACTCAACACCACTTTAACATAGGTTAATGGAATTTCTGCATTTGTCCTGGTCCAATCTTTCAAAAGACATTTTTTTTATTACTGGTGCCAGCGTTATACCTGAGTTACATGAGTACCAAAACAATACTTTTTTTCATCCTTTTTAATTTACACTAACACTTCTTTTCATTAACAAATGAAGCAAAAATTCTGAAATGTTTTATATTCTCTGAGCTGAAATCCTAAATAGTCTGAAACTTAGAAAGTCTGAAATGTAAATCAGATAATATCTGATTCAAAAATAAGTAAACAAGATTCTTAACAGGCATTACCAACTTTCCGTGTTAAGGGTTAGATTGAGATTGAGACTTTGTTACTTAGTGATGATCTATTTCAGTTGGTCTGTGGATTATACAGAGTAACTGGGACATTGTTTCTTGGAAGACATGTCGCTGCTCCACAAATGAAAATACATTCAAGCATTAATGTCAGAGGCAGAAATTTAAAACCCTTTGCAAATAACACCAATGTGTCTTTTTGTAATTTGGGTGAACTGACCCTTTAAAAATTAAAAAAATGATAATTTTACTCCATCTAAAAATGATTTCTCCCCAGCTCATCTGTCATCGTCATGTTTGCTTTTGTAAATCCACTAAAAGACACTCATGGCAGATGTTAGCAGGGTTTTTTTTAATGAGATGAGACTTCCGGAGTCTGAGTGTTGACAATGTTTGTCCAAAGCCCAGTGTGAGCCTGAGTGGCTCAGTGGGCCACGCTCCCACAGGGGGACGCCCGTGACCCCGCTCTTGTCTGCCACTATCACCGATAAACTCTAATTGTCTGCTACAACTGTTCACTGGCACAATGTCGGATGTTTTCCTCTATTCTCAGAGGCTTCAGACGCCAAACAGACGTTTTATCATGCAGATAAAGGGCAGAAGGGGGAAAACTGAAAAGATAGGTCTGAAAGGGATGACCAAATGGCTAGCAGAAGTGTGGGAGGGGTGAATCCATTGAGTTTTGCATCTCCAGAATGGGTTTTTAATGCCTCACTACAGAACCCAGACACTGGCTAATAGGGCCACATTTTCCAGAGGAATAAAAAAAAACCATGAAAGGGAAAGTGCTCTGATTAATATTGCATTAAATTAAACCTGATTTTTCTAGACTGTTCCTTGCCTCCTTTTTTCTTTTTTTCTCTACTTGCCCCCATTTTTAGTCTAACCCTTTTCCCTCTGCCTTTTAATACTCTCTCTGATGCTCTTTGTGATTGCAAGTCATTTCCAATTCGTTTTGGTATTGATCTTCCAGTAGAAATCAGTTTTGTAATTAGCTGCAAATTAGGCCCTCTTCTGGAGGTGAGGCCTGTCCCACTGATTTATCACCTGCGTAATTCGCCCCGATTGGAGAGAAATTAAAATGAACTCAATTAGGCGACTGCTTTTGCTTTATGGGTCCGACTTGTAGTTTGGTGAGAGAAATTAATAGTCTCTTGTTGTTTAATAGTATAATGAAAGTAAATAAAGGTTATCCATTGTAATAAGCCCAGAGCTTTTAATAAGCGGTGGTTTGTGGCTGTCGTTTTGGCGTGCGGGTGGCTGTTCCCCAAATGCCTCTTAATTTTTGAAATGAGGATGGATGGCAAGTGTGTTTTTTATATCAGAAGGAGGGAGCAGAAATTACAGGGTTTCATACATCCATTTCATGAATACATGTTACAATAAACACAGCCTTCAAGACTGCACCAGTCATTAAACATCAAGCTATGACAGAAAGTAAACAATGGCAAGAAGAAGCAGTTGAATAAGGCGGCAAAAATGAAAAAAAATCTAGGTATTGATTAATTTCATGTTGCCTTACTGTTATTCTCAATTATAGGGGATACAAGGAATGTGTTTTTCATCACAAAATCAATAATGTGTGGGAGTTTTCCTGGTGATCCCTCCAGCATTATACATGCTTGGTTGTAATCCAGTGCTTGGCCATCTCAGACGTTTGTTTAATTAGTTTCTGGATATGGTTTGGGAATATTTGTGACAAAGGTACATTTGTGCACAATTTGTGTGTATTTACTGAAGAAAAAGCAGAAGTGATGAGTTGCAGTGCTACTAACCTGTTCGGGTTTGATATGCTCCGATGTAGGGAAGACGTCAGGGTACGAGGGGCGTTCAAAGACCCGGTCCAGCGCTTCCAGCTGCTGCTGGGTGAAGGCATCTGCCCTAAGGTGTTTCCGTAAACTCTCCACACTACCCTGAGAATCACTGTTTGGGCCAGAACCATCTGAACCATCTACAAGAAGAAAGAGCAACAATCGAGACACTGACCCTGGGAAGCTGGCCTTTACTTCAAGCTATGCACTTTATATTCTCCTCATGATTTTTTCTGCACCACCTCTGTGGGGGATCTGAGGAGGACAGAAAGGGATGGAGTGCAGGTTTTTCCACTCCTTAATGGCTGTAGTGAGCCACTGGCTACATCACACAGGCTTTTGCCTGCACCCCCCACCACAGTAGTAACACCATCATGATCTGAGAGCCCTCTGGTAATTGATGGATTACCATCACTTGCAAATATATACATGTTGTGGCAAGCATGTATACTAATGAAAGCAGCAGCTAGCCCATTATAGTGCATTTTCATTCCAGCCAGGGGATTTTTTCCCCCCATCTTTCTTTCCTCCCCAAAACCCTACCGGTGCTTGCTGAAATCAAGAGCAGTTTTTTTAAAAAGCACAATTTCCCTTTTTTCACAATTCAATACCGCTTTCATTCTCTGCCGGTGTGTGGTTCCATTTGGAAACAGCGGCGGAGGACAAGAGGCTGAATAAAATTGTACAGTCTAGTTCAATCATCCTGCTCTCCAAACACAGGAATTTTCTCCTGACTCCTGACCTGATTACCCGACTGTTGGGAGAAGGATGCCTTAGCTTTTCTCGTTGTCACTCGCTTTAAAGCCTTTACAGACCATCCTACCATATCTCCCTTTTTTCTTCTTCCCTCTCACCCCCCACCTCTCCCTGGCTGCAGTGGCTGTGTCTGTAGGTCTCCTCCCCGGATCCCAGAAAGCTTCAGCTCCCTTACAAATCTGTCATTCTAAATTTGCAGCAGATTATGTTCTCCCCTCAGTGGGAGAGTGGTGATATATGATATGCAAGGCCCCTATTGATTGCCCGATCTGGTGGCAAGAGGGAGCTGAAATGAACTTGAAATGAACATCATGCCTCAACTCATTGTGCGTATAATACTCTACTTAATCCCACATTTTTCTCTGCCATGGAATTCAATTGATCAATCATGTCTGTGTGATAGTACCATTTGGGAGGGTTATTGCCATTCTATTCTGCTGCTTGACCTTTTTTCACCGGCTGAGGCCAGAGGATGAACCCGACTCTCCCATGAAAGCTGAAGAAGCTATAAAAGAGTGTGTGAGTGGGTGTGTGTGTGTGTGTGTCTGAGCACGTGTGAGCGTGTGTAACCTGAAATTGTGCTGAGAGCTGCAAAAATGTCACGCAATAAATATGTTATGAGTTTGCTAACAACGTCTTGTTAACTGTTTATTCTGTTTTCACTGCACAAATGAATGCAGAATTTATTTAAAAACGATGCACCGATCCAATACGCTGGATTGTTATCAGTGCTGATATTCGATATCGGGTTTTTGCCATGATGCATGAAATGTAGCTTATTTGTCACAATCATAATCATTGTAAACATCAAAGGCTTTTGCGATCACTTCATTCAGGCTACCAAATCGGTTTTAGTCCTCATGTTACCTTATATAAAATTAATCCAATGAGTTTGACGAAGTGAGGTAAACAGATTTTAAATTTTTGATAAGAAAGAGCAAAGGTAGTGGATCACTACTCGGTATCAGCAGATACTCTGAGTTGAGATATCATACTGGGAAAGAAAAGGTTGAATTGGTGCATTACTATCATTTACTACAGAAGTCTATTGCTGCCAAAATTGATGGGTATCATTTTATAACTTGAAAGGTGTATCGTTGTTACAAGATGTTTTTTACATAATTACAAAATACAAACTTTTTAACAAGATTTTTTTATAACAATGTACTGCAACCTTGTTATAACATAAAATGTTTCATGTTTTGAACAAAGCATGACCAGAGTAAAATTTAAAGGAAGAGTTTGACATTTTGAGAATACACTAATTCGCTTTCTTCGGGAGAGTTAGGTGAGAAGATCAACACCACCCTCATGTTTGTCTGTTTAATATGAAACTCTAGTTAGGAAATGGTTAGCTTAGCTTAACATAAAGGCTGGTAACTGGTGGAAATAATTAGCCTGGCTCTGTACAAAAGAATTTTCCCACCAGCACCTCTAAAGGTCACGTTTTAAAACGTTATAGTGTCTTCTTATCCTTTGCTGGCAGTCTTAATGCTAAAGTAAGCTAATCATCTCCTGACTGTAGCATCATGTTTAATGTACAGGTAAAACTCATCCAACTCTTGGACAATCGGTTTAACTATTCCTTTAACACTTCTCCTACATGAGAAAAAAAACCCAACAACTCTGATTCTTTCTGATCTGTTGCTCACCTGAACATTTCAGGTACACTCAGCGTATTTACCGCACAGCCTCAGTGAAGGCCGTCACCTACTATAGCTGCTGCTTGTCACTTTATCAAACTCAATTGTTCTCTTGCTACCAAAGCAAATAGAGTCATTAATTACTTTCCATCAGCCAACCGAGCCACAACACCTGATCAATACCCCCCACCATATTTGTCATTCGCCACTGTGGAATACACTTCCCACACACAAGTCAAACCATCCTGGCTCAACCTACACACTCTTCCTCCCACTCAGACTGAAGACAGTCCCATCTGCCCTCCCAGCCACTGATTCCCATCTGACAAATCAGCAACAACTGTGTTTTTGGTGATGAAGATGATTCTGGTGACATTTAGAATGTTTAAACAGCGTAAATCAGGTTAAATTATCCTTAATAATTTTCAAGACCGTCCTCCGAAGAAAACTATAGCGTCAGTTGTTTCAGCAAGCGCCCAAAAATGCAGTTTGTTTACGTGCAAGTGTCAAAGCCCTCTAGTGGTCACAGAAGTGATGACTCATGTCCGTCGGAAGCAAAAGAGAAAGTAATGTCATGTTGTTTCTGAGGCAACAAAACTTCAGACTGTTTGCTTTCTGTTTCCTGTGTTTGGTTTCTTTCGAGCAGGACTGTGATAGTTCCCTTACCTTAACCTTTTCAACATTTGGTTATTATTGTAACCATGATGAGGTCACCTAACCTTAACAAAGCAGTCATTTTAACTGAAACCTCACTTTCCCTAACCCTACCCCAAGTCGTTTTTGTGCCTTAACCTAACCAAACCTTATCCAAAACTGTGTAAGCTCAGAAAATGCTTCTGTGTGTTGCTCTGAAAAGCAGTTACAAACGACATATTATTATATTTATTTTGGAGGATTTGTTGTTTTCTTACTTTTTTTTGAAAGATTTCTGTCAGAAAAAGCTGATGCCATAGTATCACCATGCACAATTCAGAATTCAACAATATTAAAAAATCTAAATCCACATTTGATTGGTTGTTTGTTAAGTATGTTGGCCAGGAAACGCCACTGCCAATCAAATATGATCAAACTTCACCATGCACAGACCTCGTTATGCAGATTAAAATTGGAAAAAAAACATGAAAAGAACAAATGTAACGGAATGTAATAGCCAAAGGTTCAACTAAATTAGTTTTTTTACTTTTGTTATAGCTAAATAAAAATATTTACCATTTGAAAAAGTTTTCCGGTGCTGACTTATCGCAATTACAAAAAGTCAGATGCATTGTTTGGACATTTCCAAATCTGCCCATTATACAGCTGTGATACTAATCCTTGACCACAGTGGCTTTGTCAGTGCGTTACATGCATGTCCTGCTCTGTGGTCATTTATTGATCATCTCTGGAGTTGAGTGTATTCATCTTGACATCAGTCTGTATTAACACTCTGGTAACGAGGGAGCAGCCTCCATCAGATCAGATAACCAGCTCTATAAAGCAGACTCCTCTCTGCGGGTTTGGCACCCAGAGGTCATGACCCCTCGTAGGAGGCTTTAGCCAGAGTAACTCTGGGACTGTGAGGGAGTCTGAGTGACTGCCTGCCAAACAAAAACACAACAATTATCATGAATAGTGCAGCTTGAGTATGGATTTTAGCTTTTTCTGAAAGTCTGGAAGGAAGAGAATCTTTTCAGAATAAAAGTTTTTCACTTTTAGAGGTAATGAAAATAAAGTTTCTAAGTTCTTGTTATAGGCATTAGGAGGAGAGCTGGCACCTAGAGGTCATGAAAGCCTCCCTCAGATGAAAGAGCTTACCCCCCCCCCCTTCTCAGTCTGCTCTTTGTTTAAATAACATGTCAACATACATACGCTTTTGTTCCCTTAACACACTGTTATGTATTTCACAATAATACACCTCTATAATTTCCCGCCTGATTCAATTCTCGGTTAATGAAATCAAATTAAAACAAATTGGATGAACTCAGCTGCATTTTGTTTTTCTAATTGAATGTTTTGATTATGTAAACATAAATGAAATACTGCATTTAGAAAGCAATACGTTTGTTCTGCATCACCAAAGATCCGTGGTTAGTGTTAAAAGGGATTCAACGATAAATTGATTAGTATATCGATGGAAATTTTAATTTTGATCATCTAAAAATGCTCCAATATTGTTTGTTTGCTTTTCAGATGTGAAAATTTCCTGGTTTTCTCAGTTTCATATAATTGTAAATTTAAGTCTTGTGGGTTTTAGGCTGTGGTCAAACAAAACAAGAAAATTAGACACTTTTGGCTCTAGGGAACTGTAATGAATTTGCATTTCTTTTTTGACATTTTATAGGTCAAAAAATTAATTCAAATAATTAAGGTATTCCTTAATTGCAGCTTAATGTCAGATTACTCATACGATTCAGAGGGGAACATTTTGTAAACGTTGCTTGTTGGCCATCAATTTGCTGTGATGTTCCTTAGCTTTATTAATCGGATTTGGAGGTTGGACTTAGGTGCTGACATTTTGCTGCGCTCTGTGTTCCTGTGTGGATTCTTCCTCTTCCCCCACCAAAACAGATGCTGATACACAGAGCAGGGTGTGACGGCGGCCCGCTCCATCACTCATCTCCATCCACACACATCGGTTCGGTCCTCATGACGCTCAGAGAGGAGAAATAATTAATTCAACAGCTACTGAAGCACAGAATCACATCCATTCTGACTGCCACTGGCTATTGTTGTTGGCTTTTGAAATTTATGATGATCATCTTATCATGAAATTTCTCTCTTGGCATTTCTCTCATAAATCAAGAAGAAAGCCCCGACACAAAGAGAGAAAGCGATCGCAACGGCTGAAATTAAGAATCATCTACAGGTCTGATTGTGCAATTTGTGGGGGCCGCTCTGAAAGGACGTGCGATATGACTTTGAAAGACCGGACACACTTCATGGACACTGCATGTTCTCAACAGACCTCCAAGCTGTCTGCTCAGGTCAATTCAGCTCGCTCAGACGCTCACTAATAACAAGAAGGTGAACAAAAACATCCATGAAAGCAGATTTGTACTTAAACATGAGATACTGTATGAAAGATTTGTATTTCACCCCGAGAGAAGCAGCTTCTCCTTTGTCTTTTCTGAAGCCTACAGTGTCAGAGGCAGTGGGGGTGGAGGAGTTGGGACGTGGGGTACTCGGATGTTAATCTGTGAGGTAATAGCTTTTCTCTGCAGAATTGCAAATTCTAATATATGTCACTTTGTAAAACGGACAGCCGTGGTCACCAAAGACACCATCTCCAGGGGTCTCTCTCCCACTCGCTCCCCCACTCTGTCCGTCCGCAACAATGGCTGCCAAGTGTAACATGCTACTTTTAATTTGCAATAACACGTGACAATAGCAGATTAATGGCTCTTATGACACCTGTGTCCCTGAAGCTCCTCTTGCCGAGACCCAGTGTACATAACGTGTGTCACACTACATTATCTCTACATCCCTCCTGTAATGGGGGGACCTTTTTTTAAGGGCACTGCTGACTTGGAAACTTAGGAGCTGTCTGCCTGCTTGGCAGAGAGCCACAGCGACTGCCTAAAACAAATACTCTGGGCTACACAGCCAATCCATTTTACCGGGGCTTGTGTTGCACGCTCCCCTCCCTAACCCTTCCCCTCCTTTCCTTCGCTCATTTTTGTTCATGTTTTCAACCCTTGATAATGACTGCTTGTGCCATAATCATCATGAGGCTTACCAAGTTAAATAGGGCTCAGGCAAGCTACTGTGCTGTGAGGAAATTTAATCCAAGCATTAACTGGCTATAGACTACTGCCTACTGAAGGAAGCAAAATACGTCTGAATAGCAAACAAGGCAACACTAAAACACAGATCTCAGCTAAAGAAAATGCTTGAAACCAAAATCAATCGACACCACGATAGCAGCACAAACATGCTTCTTACTTCTATTTGATTGATTTCAGAGCCACATGCTGAGGTCTTAGATGTATTTTTCTTGGATAAGAAGTGTTTTTTCCTTGTTTGGTTAGAAAAAATACTAAGCAGTATGCTTATGGTTATAGCACTTGATCGTTTCTCAAAAAAGCAACTAAAATGCACGAATGCAAGAAAAAACAGAAGGGCTCTTTAAACAGTTAATGGTATCTATGGAAATAATGGGAAAATATGGCATCTGTTATGATTTTCTTTCAACAATGTACAACAAAAATAATAACATATACATCAGGTTATGACATACCGAAGCTGCCACCTACATTTCAAAATAAAACTACTCATTATTTTCCAATTTCCACCAAAATGGTTGCAAAAACCTTCACATCCAACAAAATACTGAGTATATAACCTAAGTGTCCTAAATACTACAACCCTTTTTCAGAGGACACTTCAGGCTACCAGTTGTAAAATCTTGAAATTCTTTTTTTGTTTTTGAGGTAAGGTGCACTTTAAGAGAAGACAGCAACAGGACAATAGTGTCTACAGGGTAACATCGTATGTAATATACTATTCTTACAAACTGTGGCTCCAGGCAAGACATTGCTTTTGCCACCGCGTGTGTGCGGCCAAGGCCTGGGGTTTATGTTTTGGAAAGATAAAGTATCCCTGACCCTGTGGTTCCAGGTAGGCACCAGCTGGCCGTTGAGAGAGTATATAAGAACCAACGGCTCCCTCCGTCACCCTCAGTACAAGTCCTACCCTGACGGAAACACGCACACACAAGCGCACACATCCACACACGCACACCTTTCTTCTCTTTCATCGTAATGCTGGCCGAGCACCTAAATCACAGAAATGGCAGCACATCAGGGGAATCATTTGAGACTGAATAGCCATAGAAACATGGCGCTGTCACCTGGAAGACCTCCACAAAACAGGCCAGCTCTCCCCCTCACACACACACACACACACACACACACACACACACACATACCTTATTCCTCTCCATGCCCTTTAA